AATGAAATAGCAGTATTCATTATCTCATCTGCGTTTTATCGATCCGATTCCAATAACATTCGTTGTGTGATATACAGCGTGTTTTTTCTTATGACAAGTCAAGCTTTAAATCCATTCGAATAGTTCAATACGTACTTATTATTGTCTTGTTTATTACTAATCTCTTTGTTTTATGTACCGTGAATTGTGGCATGAACCTGAAAAATTAATTAGCATAAACCATAGATAAGCAAATGTAATCGGGAGGCATTAACCCTGGCCAGGATAATGCAACTTTGTATGAAAGCTGAGAAATCTGCAGCAATCATGATTTTGTCAATGTTTGTGTTGGGCTTGTAAAAATAAAGCGAGAAAAAATATCGCTGATTCTTTCCTTCATGTTGTTTTAGATTGCCATTTTAAAAATTGGATACAATATTTCATATTATATCGGAAGAAACTAAAAATTTTAATTCTATGTTAAACTTTTTTTGGTTTGCTCTTTAAAATATAATTACATACATATTACTCTGAGATAATTTTGGTAGTAATTTTGGTGCAACCTCTCAGATGTATGGGAATTTACCCCATAGATTTGTGAGGCTTGAGCCAAAATTACTCGAATATGCCTTAAATAAAAAGTTTAAAGTTACAGAATACAAAGATTTGAAAATCCCGTTAAAAAAGTTTTATATGTGCGTCCACCGTAGCGCTTTTAGTATACACTCATAAACGCGTGTTTCCGCTTTTTAGTACGAAGTTGGCGTTTTCTCTTGGGTAGGGTTACCAGGTGTCTCGCTGGAAGATCCTGGCAAAAAACCTGATTTCTATAAAAATATTCTGATATTATTGACGTGAGCGGACGCGATTTATTGTATACATAAATAAAAAAATATCTGTAGTACATGTGTAGCGATTTTTCAAACAACCCCTTTCGTGGGGGGGGGGGTATTATTTTTGAGTTCTACATTATTAGTTGTCAGAAAAATATCTTATTGATGATCAGTGGTTGGTTATTTACATTTATTTTTACTGCCTCGCTAATCTGAGGTCCCGGGTTCAAATCCCAGGTCGAGTTAAAATCAGTTATTGGGTTTTTCCGTCAAGAAATTCTCAATAGCAATCCGGAGTTAGGAAGTTGGCGGCGTTTCACGTAAAGCCGTTGGTCCTTCTCCTGATCAAATTAAACTCTCATCAAATTACCGTCCCATCGGACTATAAAAGTGAGGGAATAGGGAGTGCACCTTTGCTTGTGCAAACACTTGGGCCGTATAATCCTGACCCGCGCAGATAAATAGTCTTCGTTAAGACTGGCCGCCATGACCGAAAAACGGTCTGGAGGACGTTATTTACATTTTAATTTCCAGCACTACGTAAAGATCAGAAGTGGTTTCACTAGATTTTTTTGGTGCATTGCTGAGAATATAATAGTGAAACTATGTACTATTTGTATTTATATTTTGTTCCTTGCAAACTTTTTTTCCTTCTTTATTGAAAGATACTTATCTACCGGTTCAGTCGTATACCGTTGAGTTAAAATATGAAATAGAAATTGTTGTATCAAATTAAATGAAATGCAAAAGAACCAATAATTTACTACATAATAAATTACTACAAAAATAATTTACAAAGTTTTCCCACGATTTTGGTGTTCTAATGATATTTTTAAACTATATATAGTAGTAGTTATTAGTAGTGAGCCAAATCGATTCACCAACTTACAGATTGACTCAACACTTAGCGAAAATATTCTCACCGCTCAAGGAACATACAAAAGCACACACAAAGGATTTCTACCATTTTGTCAGCGAGATTAAAGACCTACTTCTGGCAGACAATGAAACTATGGTCAGTTTTATGTGCAGCCTTTGTTCACATACTTACCTGTTGAAGACTGCATCTCGATTGCTACTAGAAGGCTTGAGGGAAAATAACTTGCCCGTAGTATACGCAGTATTACTCAGAAACTGCCTTACATCTGGCTACCTATTGTGGAAGGAATAGTTCTACAAGCAAGTAGATGGAGTGGCGATGGGTTCACCTGTATCTCCCATTGTCGACGATATATTCATGGAAGACTTTGATGAGAAAGCCCTGCTTACTTCTCCCGTAAGCCCAAGATTCTACAAGCGGTACGTAGACGACACTATCATAATTCTACTTTTAGATAAAGTAACTGCATTTTTAGACCATCTTAACTCCATAAATTCTAAAATTCAGTTCATAAGCAAACAATTCTTTAGTTTTTCTAGATCTGTTAGTATTTCGGAATCCTGATAACACATTGAGCCACACTGTGTATAGAAAAAAGACCCATACAGATGTAATTATATTTAAACGGTGATTCTCATCACCATCCTTCATAGTTAGCTACCGTGGGTAAATCTTTATTTCAGAGAGCACGAGGGATCTGTGACAGTAAACACCTGGCTGCTGAGGTCCAACACGTCAAGCAAGTTTTGCACGACAATAAGCTTCGGGTCCCGCGCCTACGTTACAGTGAACGAGTGAAGCCGGCCACAGTCGAGTGCCTGCTATACTGCCATATGTCAGAGGTGTCACTGACAAGATTGGCTACATTTTGAAGCCGCCGAAGAAGATTAGTCAGTTTTTGCCATCAGTCAAGTGTAATGTCAATGTACAAGCTTGATTGTGAATGTGGTCTCTCTTATACAGGACAAACTTTTATACGTGGTAGAGCCATGCTGCAGCTATATTAGTAGTATATTTGTGGCACGAATGGGTCGGCTCGACCAGGGAAGGACCACGCTCTCACAGAATACCAGCGTAAAGTAGCAGCTTAACACTGCTGTGTTTTGTATGGTGAGTGTAGAGAACCGGAGACCCTTTTTACTGAAAAAGAGGCATTCCATCTTAGTCCTCACGGGTGACAACGCATCTGCATTTTGATTTGCAAACGAGGATAGATGTAGATGTCTATATGCCACAGCACTTACTTTTACCACCAGGTGGACTGTGTGCTCGTTTGTCACGCTATCCTATAAAAGGAACGAAAAGATCCATAAAAACCCGTGTTAAAGAACACATAGCTGATGTGAAGAATCGACGCTCCGGGAAGTCTGCAGACCACAAATCCCCAATTCCTTCCAAGGATTCGCGAGGCTATTGAAATAAAAAAACATTCTAATTTCAATAGGGAAGATGGCTGGGTGCTACCATCTGCTTGGGATCCCATAATTAATAAAATTAAATCCCAACCCAAGCATACAACTGCAAGACTTCAAGATACTGTAAGCTCATTCTGCGTAGATAGGACCAAAAATTAATATTCAAAAACTAAAGGTAGCCGGGCTAATTATGACATCGGGACGTCAAACACCTCAGTTCCCCCCGTGACCATGGGTGCTGTAACGTGCTCGAAACGTCGGAAATATAAAATAAGTTAATAAATGCGATAAAATAGATAAAATTAGTTTTATTTAAATGTGTAGTGTTCGCGTAAATATAAGAAATCATTATTAATAGAAATTGCTCTGAAAATATCTCTCCTATTTAAATCTAAATATATTTTGTAATATCTATTTAATTGTTTAATTTAATTTTTATTTTATTATGAATATATTTTGGTAAAGTCTTTACGTTATAGAACAATCATGAAACACATTACATACTTAGAAGTAAATACACCTAAATAAATGAAGATAATTATGTGAACTAAAAGCAGCATTGATAATCACTATGTACAGGCCACCCCTCGGCAACATATTCTTCTATTCTTGCAACGGACAGAATCACAAAGGACGACCGATTAAGATAGTTAGCCTGCACCGTAATAAAAACTACTTCGACCAGTAGTTTCGAGTTCGAGTTTTTTCTCTCATTCATAACACTATCATAATTTTATTTCTTGTTTTATTTTACACAATGCTTATACTACAGATTAATTATTATTTGTTCTAAGAAGAATATAAGTTATTTGCAAAATCTTGGGTATATCCCAAGCACAATATCAATTAAGACAGTGTAACTTCTAATAATTCTTACACGCGCATCGCGCATATACATTAAATAACGTTTTCAAATTTGCATTCTTAACATATATGTATTCGTTATCGTAGTTCTTTTAACAGAAAAGTACATTTAATTTTATCAGAATACACATATTTAATAATATTAATTACATATATACAACATAATACACTGATAAGAAAAAGAAGCATTATTACTTAGAAACTTCTATAGCTTTATAAATTTTTTTTTAAAACGTTACCCCCACACTAGAATTTTCTCCTGTGTCGTGGAGTCAGTTTACAGACATAAATTGCACAAGGACAAAAATCCAGACCCGGAACAATTATTTGTAGGCCATACAAATACTTGTTCCGTGCGGGATTCGAACCTGTGGCCCCCAGCGCAACAACTGATTGCTAAGCCACTGCGCCACGGAGCCGTCAAATTTTTCATATGTATTATGTGTATAATATTAATAAAAGTCGTTATTTTATTTCTTTACGTCAAGGGTTTTAAGGGGAGTTTGAATTTGTCTCTGTTTTATTGTTTAAATAAAGGTATTCTATATTAAATATCTGCGTAAGGGAATTATTAATGGAAACGGTGTAACAAGTGTTTCTATAGTAATAAAATGGTTTACATATCTTTTAAGGGCCCTTTATACATTATCGGCATCGACTATACGCTGGATTAAGCTGTCATCAAAATCTCTCAAGTATTTCGCAATGTGATGCATCAGCAAAAGTTTTGTGAATGAGATAAAAAAATAAACTAGGCCTTATGATTAAAGACCTTTGCCTGTCCTACTTGGCGAATAGTACATCGCATCGTCGCATTATCAACAACCTCTGCCAAGTGGTTATATCGTAGAGAGAGAATAAACTACATTATACTTTTACATACTCCCTCTACAGGTTATATTCTCTGTAATATCTGCGTAGATCGTAGATGTCTGTGGCGTAGATAGAGGATTAAGATCACAGAACACTAATACCCTTAGGATACTAAGTCTATGGTACTATGTCAAATTCCTTAGTCTGTGGTTCAAGATGGCTCTGAAAGCTCTTGTTGGTCAAAGTAAGTAAAAATTTTAAATGTTTTGATGAACTGTTACTCTAAATTCATAAAAAAGAAAACAATAATTGTACACAAATAATTCACTCTCATAATTTTCCCCAAACTCCCCAAAAAATCATATTTTATTGTTTTATGTTTTGATTATAATGGACAGTTTATTTTGTCATGCATTTCTCGCTGGTCTAACTGGTATCTATTTTAAAAATGTATATTTAAAGCATAACTTTCTTTAAATGTATAGGTTTTACTTTTTTACTAATTGTATTTTCAATTATGTATGTCATAAAATGCCGATAGGTATTATCTTGAGTCATACTGTCACTGCCCTAAAAATAAAGGTGTAAACAAACACTCGATAATTGCAATATATGTCAAAAGAAAGAATTGCTAATTAGAATAAACAATCTAAAACATACGATAAACCACTTTTAAACCTATGTGGACATAATATGACAAAATATTGATTTTCTTATAAAATGACACTCGTTAGTAGGGTGGGGGACGTACGTCATACCAAAAGTAGATCGCTGCAAGCAATTTTTATTTACTATTTTACTTTTTTAGACATGTACCATCAATCTTGTTTAAGTAATTAAATAAAACATGAATACTACACACTTAATTTATCACATCTGATTGTGGACTCCTTTGTCTACTTGACCTATTTTTCTCATTAGACTGCAAAGCTAATTTTAAATTTTAATCAATATCAATAGTATGTTTCAATTATAAATGTTGCTTCTACTGCCACCCTCCATGGAAGATATTGATACTTGCAATTTTAGATTCATCATTACCCTTTGTCATATTATTGTCATTCTTATTCTATAAAAAAATGTAGTTTAAATGTTAGTCAGAGAACTCTTTCTTGGTCCAAACTACTTTTGACCGAACTTCAGTCAAAAGTACTTTTGACTGCAGGCTTCAGTTAAAAGTATCAGTGTAGTTCTAATCGAAATTCTGAAAAAGCCTGTAGTCAAAAGCACTAAATAATTTTATTTTTCCTAATCCCTTGACTTTGTTTGTTGTGCCACTGATATTTGCAAACAATATCAACCAATGTTTTTGATTTAAGAACAAAAACTAGTTTGTCTTAAAATATTGGTGATGAATATTTTTTTAAATTCAAAAATTCATTCAAAAATACTTATGCACAAGCTTAGTGTTTTCATTGGTGAAAGTAACATAATGTATATTATATGTATGGAGGGAATTACTTTGATATACAGGGTTATTTTTCAAAGAGTTGCCAAATTTTAAACTTAAGTTCAAATATATTAATAATAATGATGTACCATTATCGTAGTTTTTGAAATTAGAGTAAATAAGGCTTCCTCTTTTATTTGAAATTATTCCAAATTTAATGTGATTTATGGGCAACAATGTTTTTGCCTACAGGTCGACCCTTATGAATGTGTGCATGTGCAATAAAATCAGTTAAAATTATGCATTATCAAACATTTAGAATTTAAAAGATAAAAAAGACAGAATGTATTTTTATTGTATTTTTCATAACCATTTGCCTATATTACATATTCCGAACCTTTTGTGCGAATTTGGCCGGTTATTGCAAAATAACCCTGTTTACATGGTAGAGCCATGCTGCAGCTATATTGTGGTTGCAGCATGAATGGGTCAGCTCGACCAGGATAGGACCACACAGGTGAACAGCTAGTCAATAATAATATTGAGAAGTAAGTGTTCCACGACACACGCATTTTTTTAAAATAATTATTCGTTTTTTTAAACAAAATCTCCAAATTTTTCGGATAAAATGTGGCCTAGATCATTCCTAGTATTGCTTTCTATCTGTTCATGAAGTTGTTATTACAATCCGTTCAACCAATCCGAAGATTTTCCATAGACAGACAGATAGATTGACAGAGAGACTAAAATTTTTAAAAATTGTTATGTACACTTAATGGCATGTAAATAACCCCCTCAGCCTCAGCCTCAGCAATATAAGGCAGTTATTGCTATATTACAGACGCACACTTAAATTTTATTTATAGGTAGTAAAGTGTGAAAGAATTTAGTAGTACCTCACATGGATTTCTAGGTAAAAAATATGCCCTAGTATGCCATCTAGTAATGTAAATGTTTGCATTGAAATGACTTATTAATATTACGTTATTTGTAAAATATACTTACTTAGATATAGACATATATATACTAGGTACATATATAGGCAATAATCTTCTTGAAAAGTATTAGTATTACACGTGGTAGAGCCATGTTGCAGCTATAGTCGTAGTGTAGTTGTAGCACAAATGGGTCGGCTCGACCGGGGAAGGACCACGCTATCACAGAATACCAGCGTAAAATAGCAGCTTAATGCTGCTGTGTTTCGTATGGTGAGTGTAGAGAACCGTAGACCCTTTTTACTGGAAATGAGGCATTCGATTTCAGTCCTCAGGAGTAACATTGCATCAGCATCTTGTTTCTTAATTGAGGATAAATATAGATGTCTATGGATCACAGCATCCACTTACCATCAGGTGGACTTTGTGCTCGTTTTTCACCCTTACACTATAAAAAAACACATACATTAGTGATGTTAGGTTTATTTGCATTCCCATTTGAAAAATTCCTTTGAATATTTTGTGAATGTGGTTCTCACAAATACTTCACCACCTTTTGCTTATAAATATTGTGAAAATAATACAAACTAAGTTTATACTATAGCTTTTTATTTTCAAAATAAAATATCCTTTTTTTTACAAATAAATAACTACTTTGTTCTAGGTCTACTATCACATATTTTATCAATTAGTAGTTTTTTAAAAACTTAATAGCTATAAACTTCTTAGTAAAAAAGTGAATAACTATTCAAAAGCAAGTCTCATCTGGCATTATTCCGATGATTACCCACTTTATCTTGCATAAGTGGACTAGGAAAAAGGCTAGAAACTGTCGAAATTTGAGTGAATAGAAAAGAATAATTTTTATTCAATATGGATTACAAGAGAGCCATGGTAGTTTAGTTTGCGACGGGCTGTTTTCTGCAACTCCACGTCTTGCGCGTATTTTGTGTGTGGGCAGGAATAATGTAATTATTTGAGCCATTAGATCTCCCCGAAGAAGTTCAACAGTTCTTTGATGTTGCATGCAACTTTGGGGAGTGATTCTGGCGAGCCAAGATGTTTAGCCCTGTATGTAGCAACCTCCGGACGTTTGAGCAGCATGTGGGCCGCCGTTTCTTCCTCCCCCATACATACCCTGCACAGGGGAAAGAAAGAAAAGAAGAAAGAAAGAAAATAAACTTTATTGACACAGCAGTGCATGCACATATACAAATGGTTAACATTAAATTATATATTATACACTAATACTGTGCCAAAACAGGCTTCCGCTCAGCATTTGTCATGACATGCTCGCAAGGAGCATGTCAAGACGCTGGTCTTCCGCGGACACCTATTGTTGGCATTGTACATCCTTTCGAGAATACACTAACTTAAAATGTAGTAATTATTATATGAATGTATTTATGTGACTTGGGTGTCTCTCGAAAGGGTGCACAATACGGGGACGCTTTAATGATTGTAATCATGGTTGTGAAAAAAAAAACAATGTTAAAAACACAAAAGAGATAATAAAAGGTTAATAATTTAAAATTAAAAATTTTGTACAGCCGACTTCAATATAAGTTATTTAAGAATAACTTAAAAACTATTGGTCTGACCTTGATCAAATTCATATGGGACCACACGAGAAGTACCAGCTATCAAATAAAAAAAGAATCATCGAAATCGGTTTACCCAGAAAAAAGTTCTGAGGTAACACACATAAAAAAAAAAAAACGAAAAAAAAAAACATACAGTCGAATTGAGTACCGGCTCCTTTTTGGAAGTCGGCAGAAAATATTTATAATAGTGATCGATATTAAATGGAATTTTGAAATAAGCAAACAAATAAACAATCAACAACATTCCCTTAAATTACATTAAATTCTAGACTATTAAATAACAACTAAAACTAAATTAGTGGCCATTCCAACAAACATAAAAAAGAAATTGTTCCACGTCCTAACCGAACGAACGAATCCGAAAAAGAAAAGAAAAATAAAACAGTCCAAACAAATACCATGTACCATACATCTGGTATTATTTGCGATTGCTGGAATTATTTACGGTGGGACGGGCCCGCCAACGCCAGTGCGCGACGTGAGCACCCCATGGTAAGTGTATCAGCACCACCCGCCTTTTGCAGTGAGATAAGGTATTTTTTGCAGTGAGATAAGGTATAGTTTGCAGGGGACTATCTGTAACACCTATGGTAAATAAATGTTTGTAAAAGGTGCCATGTCCTGTGATAGCACTTGTTACTATCCTGAGCTGCGGCTTGTTGAGTCTCATTAGAACTTTGGTTAAACAACTGTTTATTTTAGGCAGGGCTTCCGTAGCTTGTCTAACTTGTCATGTCGTGTATCGTCCTACGAATAACATCTATGTTGTGAATTCGCAAAGTTAAAATTAATGTTTTGGTGTATAAAGTGGACTATAACGTTTTGATCAGTTATCAATGTGTAAAATAACCATCGAGTGAACTAAATTTGCCATAGACTAATCTGTCTCATGAACTCAACTAAACGCGCAAAACAAAGCAGCGTCCGGGGATTTTATTGCTGTGTGAATTAAACTGTGAATACTAATCATTCCTTGTGGCGGTTACGGGTCATATGTTGCCGTGCACTTTTTAAGTTATATTTTTGAGCATTAAAATAAAATAAAATAAAATGACTTCGTTAAACCTGGAATGGGGGTGTTGTACTACAGGCAATGAAGATGACAATTGTGTAAAATGCTCAAAATGCAAAGCAGCTTATCACTATCTATGTCTCTCTGCGGGACAGAAAAAGCTTACGCCCACTAACGTCCCTAAGGATTGGTTGTGCCCTAAATGCAGAGTCAACACCCAAGGGGTCCAAAAATGACAACACACCAATTCGTCAGCTGCAGAATGTCACTGTGCGCCCTTCAAAAAGGCCAGCTATGTCGTCT